ATATTTTAAAATATGTGTATAAATTCATATAAATATATTTTGATACTTACATTAGTGTTTTCAGAAGTGCTGTAATCATTCTAGTCCATATTTGTTTAGCCATTTCGTTTGAATCTAGATATTCGTGCCTAATCCTGACTGGTTAAATTAAATATATGTGTCTATCCAGAAAGTTTATATGTTTATATAATTTTATTATAAATTTTGTCTCTTCTAACTAAGTCATGCTTGTTTTTTAATTCATTGTTTGTTTTCTCAACTTGAACCATTTCTGTGTGCACTAATAGCCTTTACATCATGCTCTGGTTCCTTATCTGGAGAATGAAAACATTCGAGGACTAATCAGCTCTAAGATGGGTTTATATTTCGAACTCATGGATCAACATTTCGTACAAAATGCCATCACTTTAAGATGTTCGGCGGCCATTCTAAACAATTATACCTTAAGCAGTGAAGAGATTGTCATCGGTGGAAGCTTCTCTCTCTCTAGTCCTTACCCAAGAATAGGTAAGTTTTTGGTTTTCTGTATTTCAGTTCTTACCCAATTTAAATTAGTTACTTTCTTTGATTTCAGTCTTTACCCAAAAATATATAATTTTATTCGTTACATTTGATAGAGTTTTAATGGCTCATTACGAATCATTAACTTCAATTACACTGTAGGCAAAAATTATCAGGTAACTCTTAAGTTCATGAAGAAGTTGACTATTCCGATGGGTAAGTGTTAAGCTCAGAGACTTAAAATGCTAAAATCCAGGACTCGATTCTTCGTTGTGTACTGGGCGCGGATAGCCCACTGTATAGTTTTGCACTAAAAACGAACAACCAGTTGACTGTTAAACTTACGCCCACGTACATAACAAAAATATATAGTAACGTGAATCAATTTACTTTCCAACTTCAAAATAAGTATTAAGATGATTGGCTCGAGGTTTGTTTCATGTTTCAGGTTCAAATTCGGGAGGTCCCGTAATTACTGGCGGTTACCCAGTTTACAGAATTAACGATGTCGTCGATGTTAACTGTTCTTCTGCCACTACTAAAACTCCAGTTTTACTCCACTGGTTCATCAACGAACAACCGGTTAGTATGAGGTGGTAAAAACTACGTCTTGCTCTTTACCACTTTCTTGTCTTAAATACTTTACTACTTAGTTAAATATACAGTCAAATAAAGCTACACATTACTGTGATGATTTACTAAATATTTAAATGTAATCTAAAGCCAAAAATAAGGTCAATTATTGCTTATATGCACAATTAGGGTTTATTTTACATGAAAATCTTTGAATACGCCCTGTATTTCATAACTGAAATAGATATTAGTGTCAGCTCTCTAGTAGTTTAAATCCTGAGAATAAAGATAATGAACAAGTATAATTTTACTAGATCAAACCAAGAGAACAATGATAACGGTAGAGTGTAAACTCTACTTAATCAAATCAAGGGACCAATAAAGACAACATAATTTAAACTGCACTGGATCATATTAAAACCAATGATAACAGTAAACTCTACTAGATAAAATCGGAAGAACAATTATATTGATAATGTGTAAACTTTACTGTCTCATATCAAGAAATCATTAATAACGTTAAAATGTAAACTATTCTAGATCATATCAGGAAAACAATAATAGTGGTAAAATGTAAACTCTGTTACATCAAATCGGAGGATAATGATATTAATAGTGTGTGTGAACTCCAATAGATAAAATCAAGAAAATAATAACAACACAAAGAGTAAATTCTATTAGACCAAACCATGAGAGAAATGATAACGACAAAGTGTAAGAATCTGTTTGATCAAACTAAAGAGTAATGATAACGACAAAGTGTATTAGATCAAATCAAGAGAACAAAGATAACGGTAAAGTGCACGTTATATCAACTCAAATCACGAGAGCAATGATAACGCCAAAATATAAACTATATTAGCTCATATCAGAAGAATAATGATAACGATAAAATATACACTAGTTGTAACTTTTATAAAACTTCTGTGCTATTTTCATAGCTACCTTCTACAATCAATTAACACACTGATGTTGTATTGGAGTTTGGCCCTCGATCAGAATGTGTTAATTAATTCCTGTTACTCAATCGTCTTCTTGCATATAGAGCTGAAACTGTTTTTCAGAGCATTCAACAGTGATCAGAAAACCATGTAGGCTCCCGTTAACTGTACTTTCTCCCTGTGAACTCCCTATATTAACTAAACTTTGTCACTGTTTAACAGATTTCCGCTAACTATATTTTCTCCCTGAAAAATTCCTTTAGCTATACTTTCTCCATGTAGGTTCCATTTAATTATACTTTTTCCCTGCATGCTCACTTTAACAATGCTTTCTCCCTGTAGTCTTCCTTTAACTGTACTTTCTCCATGTAGTTTCCATTTAATTATACTTTTTCCCTGCATGCTCACTTTAACTATGCTTTCTCCCTGTAGTCTTCCTTTAACCATGCTTTCTCCATGTAGGTTCCATTTGATTATACTTTTTCCCTGCATGCTCACTTTAACTATGCTTTCTCCCTGTAGTCTTCCTTTAACTATACTTTCTCCCTGTAGTCTTCCTTTAACTATACTTTCTCCATGTAGGTTCCATTTAATTACACTTTTTCTCTGCATGCTCACTTTAACTATGCTTTCTCTCTGTGGTCTTCTTTTAACTATACTTTATCCTTGTTTGCCAGGCTTCCTGTAGGCTCCCTTAAACTGGATTTTCTCTCTTTTTGCCGTTAATTATACTATTTACCATCTAGGCTTCTGTTGAAATATAATTTTTCCTGTAGACCACCTTTTACTACACTTTCTCTCTATAGACTTCTGTTAAAATATACTTTCCGCCGTGAGACTTCATCAATCGATACTTTCTCTCTGTTAACTGTGTTTTCTTCCTTAAGGCTCCCGCAAGGCATCTGGTGAGATACCGTGTACAAATGGACAGACAAAACGAGATGATAGCAGTTCTAAGACTGAGATTCATCACCAAACACAAACATTTTCAAGATGGAGAGATGCATCTGAAGTGTACTTCAACTTTGTCCGATGTTAAGAATATGTCCACTAGGGAGAACGTTTTTGGTAATCACCATAAAAACTCCAAACTACATGCTTCCGAAGATGAAGGTACAAAACTTTATGTTAGTATTAAGAGTAAAAAAACACAAAAACCGACGGGTTTTTTGCCTTAATGAAAGTTAAATATTTATTATTACATACAGCTTATTAGCTTCGGTAACACGGTTACTATAATCAGAGCTAATTTTTGCCTGAAAATAAATTATATTTACTTTATATTAATATTTAAACTTACTTGACTTATTTTTGATATTAACGGTATAGTCACACTGTTGATGCCGTATTTAATATTGGTCAAATATATTAACGATGTAGTTACAATGTCGATGTCATGTTTCTTTCCTATTGGTCAGGTACTTATCTATTGTAAAGGTACTTGGTTTTCTTGCTAGATTATCGATGTGAGTATATTGTCGATGTAATGCTTGTTTCCTATTGGTCAGGTAGTTTTCTATTGAAAGTTACTTGATTTTTCTGTTAGATTAATGATGTAAGTACATTGTCGATGTTTCCTATTATTCTGGTAGCTTTGTGTTGAAAGTTATTGAAAGATACTTGATTTTGTTGTTAGACTAACAATATAGCTCAATGGTGTACAACATATGGCTCGAGGGCCAGATATGGCCTGCTAACTGCTTTAACCCGGCCCTTAAGCATTTTGACATCATAAATGAAAAACTAATATATATAACATATAACATAATATAACATATAAAGAAATAAATGTTGTGTTATTTACTAATGAACAGCATGCTGTTGCTGGATCTTCTTTATTAATAAAATCGGTATTAAAATTCTTCCTAGTGTTACAAATTCACCATTGATTCTTTTTTTTTTGTTTTTTGTTTTTGTTTGTTTGTAGGTTCTTTTCGATTGTTTTATAAAAATACGTACAACATCCAGGCCAATTATTTTTAACGTAAGTTATTTATTTATTAGCTGCTAGGCCTAATTCGCGAATAAAACTAAAACTTTCCAAAATACTGGTATCGCATTTTGTCACGGGTGTCGGGCCTTGACCACTTGGCTTTCTCTAAATCTGGCCACCTCCAAAACGAAGTTGTGCACCACTGAATTGTAGCTAAACTGTCAATTCCATGCATATTTCCTGTTGGTCAAATAGATTAATGATGTAGCTACAACATGGATGTCATGCTTATTTCCTATTGGTCTTGTAGTTTTATATTGCAAGATACTTGATTTTCTTGTTAGATTAATGACGTAACTCAATGAAACGAGAAAAAGTCGGCATAGATAGCACATAACTGAAAAAAAAAAAGTAACTTGTCACACAAAACAACAGTTCATGGAAAACACTGTAAATTTATTTTAGAATGATAAGAACGTTACAGCCTTTTACTGTGACCCAAATTTTACACCCACGCCCTACGTTATTTCTTTTCTTTCTCCCCCCTCACTTATTTTTTCGACTAGTAGTTTAGTATCTGTAAAAGAGAAAAACTTTTGTTGTATTTTCTTCACCTTATTTCGAATTACCTTGTTTTCTCTTTTTTTCATTCACTCACATCTATCTTATTCTATTAATTTATTATATATAACTTATCAAACTTTACGGTATTGTTTGTTCGGTCTACGCAATAATTTTTCCCAAGAATTAATATTCACGCAATGAAGGGTCTTAGTCCGAAACGTTGCTATAATTTCAAAATAAAATTTCTATCTGCTTTTGTTTGTTGTTGGCAAGTACCATTTTTTATACGATTAGTGATGTATTTATTTTGGCAACGTCATGCTTCTTTCCTATTAATCAAATATTTAAATAATAATCAGGAGAAATTACTTATAAAAGTGCCAAATTCGGAGACTCTAAACGACTTCAAGCCAGAAATAAGACCAGTAGGATCAGCCAATAGCTAGCAAACATTGAAGACCTTATTGAAACAGCAACACGAAAATTTGAGCAGTTTTCGTAACATAACCGATAAGCAAAAACCGACTCAAAAAGTTAATCGATAACATCAGATCTTTTAAACTTGCACTCTAACTTAGACCAAGCTACAACAGAAATAGGAAGACTTTAAAAATCTGTCTTTATTACACTAAATTGTAACGAAAAGTATTTTCACACTTGAATGTTAGAAGTGGAAATTTCTTGACAAGAATAATAGTTATTATATTAAAAGGCTAAACAATCAAGGTACTTGTGTGAATAAATAATTAAAACACTCTAACTAACAACGTTATTAAGTACATAATTTAAAAACCTTTATTCTGAGGCAATCAATAGTCTCAAAACAGACACTCTACTTGTTTCGACGTACAATCCTGAGGATGACGTAATTGTATGTTGTAACATCCCGTACCACCAAACGTGCTCGCTGTGGAGGTCAAGCCCAATATTCATTGGTAAAAGAGTAGCCGAAGAATTAGCGGTAGGTGGTGATGGCTAGCTGCCTTCCCTCTAGTCTTACACTACTAAATTGGGGACAGCTAGCGCAGATCGCCCTCGTGTAGCTTTGCGGGAAATTCAAACCAAACGTTGTAACATGTAGTGTGTCTGTTTTGAGACCGTTGACGGTCTCAGAATAAAATTTTTAAACTTTATACTTACAAAAACGTTGTTCGTTTGAGTGTTTTAATTCATAGTAATTACTTTTATCCCAAACGTCTTGGAAATGTTATTATGCCCATAACGAGAAAATCTTTTTGAGTACACGAATTACTACTAACCCAAAGAAGATAAAGAACAAAATATACCATCGGCTTAAAAACACGTTTCTTTTTTTCACTCCCTCTTAGTTATTTGAGTTAACTTCTATTTAAAAGCAGATGATATACCCATCCTAAGTAGCAAATTATATACCACATCCAATACCAGATTATGTACCCATCACTAATATTAGATTGTACACCTCTCTCTAATAGCAGATCATGTACTCTCCCTTTTAGCAGATTATGCATCCATCTCAATTAGCAGATTATGTACCTCTCCCTAGCAGTAGATTATGTACTTCCTAACACCAGATTATGCACTCCCAAATAGCAGATTATGTATCCATCTCAATTAGCAGATTATGTACCTCTCCCTAGCATTAGATTAAGTACTTCTTTCTCTAATAGCAAATTATATACCCATCTTTAATAGTAGATTATATGCCTACTCTAATAGCAGATTATTTGCCCATCTGTTATAGCAGATCATACACCCATCCTGATAGATAATCCTGTTCTATCCCTAAAAGCAGATTATGTACTCATCCCTACTATCAGATTATGTTTTTTATGTACAGAAGAAGAAGAAAAATTAATTTATGCGTTTAAAAATCAACGAAAACAAACCTACAAGCAACTATGTAAAGACCAATAGTCTTCCAAGTTGTATAAATAAAAATTACAGAACGAATTGTGGTTAATAGACTGTTGGATTTCTTAGTAAAACATAACTTAATAAATAACTATTAGCACAGTGTCAGGGGAAAAGACGACTCGTTACTGAATTAGGAAACGATTCAATTTAAAAAGATTCCACAGTATCAGGTGTCAAGCACGTGGGAAAAAAGTAAGTGGCATTACATCAGCTATAGCCTAGTCAGTCATATGGTTCCCAAACTTTCTCACTAGGCACGTTAAAGTAAACAACAGCATGTTTAGAGCGTGTTCACTAATTGCGCCACGAAAGGAGCGTTTCAACATGTATGTTTATAAGCCTTTTTCAACAATTATTAGCACTAGATTTAAATAGTTGCTTTATTATGTCCTATCTGTTCTGCTCACTTCCAACACACTGTTGACCTCCCTGAAATACAATATTGCTTTAACACGCCTCAAAATGAACACTAAATGACGAGTCAAACCATATGATCTTGGATGAGTTTTAAAAAGGATGCTAAATTTATAATCTTAATTAAACCTAATATTGCGTGTGTTTTTGAACAAAGACATGATAGGTATATTCTACACTATATTACTTTTCTTCAGCTGGCAGCAGAACAAAAAATTCTGTCGGTATTATTTAGAAAACTTTTATCTTGCTAAATGCGAAACAATTTTCCTCGCCAAAAGGTATGATGAACACTTCTGTATATAACACATAAGAGCCGTTATAAATATATCACTTTGACTTTAATACATGAGAATTTAAAAGCCGTTAGGTTATTTTGAACCTGAAATGCATATATTTCAAATAAGTCACGTTGTATAAGAATAAAAAATCCTAGAATATGACCATATATTATAACTTAGAAATAATTGACATGAAGGTGTAGTTATTATTTCCAAGAAAGTCAAAAAGTTGCTTAAAAGTAAATACTTCAACCTCACTTATGTGTATACCATTAGATTGTTTGTTTGTAAGTAAGCACAAACCTATACAATGGACTATCTGTGCTCTGCCTACTACGGGTATCGAAACCCGGATTCTAGCGTTGTAAGTCCGCAGACATACCGCTGTGCCATTAAAAGGAACAACCAAACTTTTTAAACGGTTGACTTATCTCACATACAAATTCCTTTTCTTAACTGTAGAAAAATGTCAGGTGAATCATGCAACCAATATTAAATAATCGTGATTGAATCGTCTCTCTCACACACGTTCAATATAATGACGTCGGATTTATACCTTTTTCGTAGTGGCCATACTCAATGTAAATATATTTGAAACATCCTAAGTTTGAGAGAGAAGGTTCTAGAAATGACGCTACTTTTTTATCGGACGAGCACGACCTAGTGGTTAGCGTTCCCAACTGTGGATCTCCAGTTCTGGTGGTTTGCGTCTCGTTATCGCCAAAAAAGAAACAAAATATAAATCATGCTCCGAAATTTGGGAGCCTCAAATAATTTACAAGAGTAAAATCTCACTATGTGATCTAACAAGAGTAATCCAAGAGTTGGCGGTGGGTGGTGTTGATTAGCTGTCTTCCCTATAGTTTATCACTAGCGGAAAAGTCTCGTGTAACTTTGCGCAAAATTCACATATCCTTCATATTTAGATGCTATTGTTTGTATGTTGGTTTCATCTTTATTTTTATTTTGTTGTTGCTGTTACAGTTATTGGAAATAGTGCTCAGCTGCTCAGAAGTCAGCTCCTCTACCATTTCCTCTTCGTTTTTACTACAGCGAAGCTCCTGGTTAAGCCCTTCTAACAGGATCGGATAATTCTCTATCTTAACTTTGTAAAAGCTAAAGGTCGGATCTTCAATGCTTTTCAATTTGTGTTCATGTTAGTAAAGTTTCAACAAACATTCTACTAAATACAATCCTTACCTTGCACATAACAAACTGGCAACGAAACATATGAAGAAAGAAACGTTGAGTTCATATTTCAAACTTAATATTTAGGGCATGCCATAAAGACTTAATAATGGCGGCTTAAGAAAAAAAAATATTATGGTTGTAAGCTGTGACTTACTATAAAGTGAACAAAAAATATCAAAAATAATAATACTAAAGTTATAGACACTTGTGGAGAAAGTCTTTTTAGGACTAATCTACAAAAATAGCATAGATTTAGATTAGTCCCCAAGATATGTTACTGTCCATTTACCTGTGTTGTTCATGATGAAAGCTCTACCTAAGTTATCTATAAGTATCTTGTTGGCTTACGAAAATTAGAATGCCGCCACTTTGTTCAAAACTACTACATTAATAACTTCAAGCTAACTAATTTGATAGTGTAATTCAAATTTCTCTCTGATGAAAGTTGAATTTTATATTAATGGAGTGAACCTTTATGGTCTGTACGCAAGCCGTCCCTAAAGAAAGTTGAAAATTAGATATTAGAAGTAAATCTTTATTAACTTTTTGTACTGTATCCCTGATGAAGACTTAAATTTAGGTTTTAGGAGCAAATCCTTATGAACAGTGTGTAAGATGTCCCTGATGAAGGCTTAATTTTATAATTTGACATAAAACATTGTTTTCTGCATGTGCGCTAATGTGCCCCTGATGAATACTTAGATTTAGATTTTAAGAATAAATTAACATTGATTGCTTGAGCGTAAATGCTTTTATTTCCAGAAATACAATTAATAAAATTATTTGAAAGTGTTTATTTCAAGTTCGTTTATTTATTTATGCTCACGAGAAGCATTTTTGTCCAATCTTTGGCTTAGAAGACAAAAACATTGTGTACTGTAGTAATTATAACAACTTTGCGCTATTTCATCAAATAAAAGTTTTGTTCTTGGAAGTGTTTTTGAAGTTATATTTATTTTTAACTGTAAAATCCTATCATTTAGTGTAGTTTCATTGTGAAGTAGTAGATGGCACCAAAGAAAATGGTAACACATTGAAATAAGTAGAAAGGAATATAACACAAGTGTATGTCAATAAAGTATTTAATTTAAAGAATTAACTATGGTATTACGTCAAAAAAAAGAGAGGAAAGAGTTAAACTATTGTAGCAAATCCATGAAAACTAAATAACTGTGGTACTAAATTCAAGAAAAAGAACTACCAATGGTATTAAGTTCAATAATTAATAATAACTATGGTATTAAGTCCAAGAAAAAATAACCGTCATGTAAAATCTAAATACAAAACAATTATAATATTTGAAAGATACAAGAAAATGTAATAACTGCGGTAATAAACCCAAAGTAACAGAAATAACTACGATATTAAGTTGAAGCTAAAGGGCAAATTGTGCAGCTAAATCCAAAGAAAAAAGAACTAATTATGGTATTAAGTCCAAGGTAAAAGCTACATAAAATGTTAAACTATAGTATTATGTCGAAGAAATGATATCTCGTGATAGTGTATACCGCTCTTCTATTTTTCTATTATAGATATATTATTATGAAGTAAAATTATGATGGTATAGATTCGTTGTTCAGTTTAATTTATTTCTATCAGTTTATTAACAATATATATTTACTGCCACCTATCACAATGTAATGAAACTATGTATTTCAATATTAACTGAAACAAATATCTAATATTTAGTTAATCTATGTATTAGAACATTATAAGAAGCATCTACATTAACTACATGTTCTCACACGATAATTAGATAGTATGTTTCTACATTTTTGTGAACTGTTTATCAGCGTTTACTTTCTCTTATTTGTAGACTTGACTTTTTGATAAATTTTGCATATCTTTCTACGATAACTTATTAAACGTTTGCTTTCTTTTTAATAAATACTTTTTAACTTCAAGCTGTTAAACTACACGTATTTTGTAAATGTATATATTTTTGTCTCTTTTCAAGTGTCCAACTATATATGTATATAGATATCTATATATATTGTAAAGGTGGTTACGTTTTGTCTTTTTTCCAGCAACTGCATAATTTTGTAACAATAGTTGTTGTTTTTCTCTTTTCAAGTGTTAAACTGCATATATTTTGTAAAGACGGTTATGTTTTGTCTTTTCAACTATTCATATACATAGATTTTGGGCAGTAGTTATGTTTCATCTCCTTTTCAAGAGTTCAAATGTATATTATTTTAAAAGTAGTTATATTCTGTCTCTTTCTAGCTATCATATAGCTGTATATACAAATATTGCTTTGTTCACTGTTTCAAAGTTTTAAAAATATTATATTGTATTTTAAAATGATTTTTTAAATAATTTTGTTGTAAAATACATTTTAAAAAATATATGCGATGTTTTGAAGGTCAGCGTAAATAAGACATTATCTTAATTACAACAAACTTTTGTCGTTTACGGGATATTGTTAATATTATTCCATTATTATTACGCTCATCTTTAAGTGGTTTAACATAACTTTCCTGTTTGAATTTAAAACGTCTTTTTTCATGTGGATGTCGAACTAGGTATAATTTTATCTAAATATTTTTGAGAAATACTAAATAAAGGTAATCGTTTGAAAAGAATTGCAACTGTCCAAAGCCTAATTATTTACTCTGCAGTAAAATAATTATTAAAGGTTAAATAACCTATTGTTTTTAAAAAACCTTCAAACTATTGTGTGACAAAAACATTGTTTCTATATAACGAAACGTTCGGTAGTGTTATGTTGAAAAAAGCTGTTTCACGAAGATGAAACTTTCCATATGGTACTATAATGTCAAGAGACGAGAAATATTATGTTCCACCATAACAAAACGCTCCATGTGGTGGTCTAATGCTAAAAGACAAGAGACATTATGTTTCACTAAGATAAAGCATTCAGTACGGTAGTGTGATGTTAAAACAACAGATACATTTTTTTTTTCTTTCTATAACAAAGTATTCGTACAGTATAGTGTCATTTAAAAAGAGGGAGGAGAAATACTGTATTTCAGTATAGCATAATATTCCTTACGACGTGTAGTTTTGTTTGGAATTTAGCACAAAGCTACACATTGAGCTATCTGTGCTCAGCCCACCACGGGTATCGAAACCTGGTTTCTAGCGTTGTAAGTCCACAGACATACTGCTGTGCCACTGGAGGAACGACATGTAGCGTAATGTTAAAATAACAGAAACATTGTGTTTCACTATAATGAAACATTTCGTACGGTAGTGTCATGTTAAAAGAACTGAGATAAAAGTTTTAGAATTTTTACAGAGCACTGAAATGCTTAGCGTAAAAAAAAACATTCACAAGTTATTAATTAAAGTGAAAACACCATCCACATTAAGGGACTGAACTTATAATCATAATTATTTTACTTACACAAGATGACAAATTGGAAGTTCAGATATAGCGCTCTTGGGAAGACATTAGAATCATTAGACATAGACTAAACGGCCAGGTCTAAGACCCCTTAAGATTGAAACATAACTGTCCCTAATTTCAAATTGATGACCAGTGGACTGACAACCAGTCAGCAGCACACACGCCCTAACCGAACAGGGGATTGACTATCGCTTAAAGTGTGAAGCAGTATATTGTGACTGGAGCCTTGGACTTTCCGATATACAGTCAGGTACGCTACCAAAGATGCCAAAATATATACAATATGTCTCGAAAAAATATAAATGGATCTCGGGTGAGGAGAATAAGTTTGGATCTGATAAAAGAAGAAGAAAAAAACAATAACGAGGCATTTGATAAAACATACTCCACGACATAGAAAATTCCAATGAAATATAATATTTTGTAAAATAAATTGTTTTAGTTTGTTAAATGTATATATATATATACGCTACAAAAATATTCTAGATAATGGTTTGTAGTTTAGAGTAATAAATTGTTCATTATTGCACCAATATCCTTGATTTACCTTTTCTTAAAACTATAGCAAAGCTGTAAATTTTGACTTCTTGATAAACAAAATGTTAAAGGATATAAAAGAATGTGACATGAATTATTTGTGTGAACTGGGAAGCTGAATTAATTAGAGACACTGATCAAATGTGGAAAATTTTTTAAATACATTTTTAAATATTCAAGATAGACATGTTCATTGAAGAAAAAAGGGTAACTCTACGTAAGAAAATACAGGCTCCTTGACAAGGGGTATAAAGGATAAAATTAAAGAAAAACATCATAAATTTAAGAAGTTTAAATTGATTGCTATGACAGGAGCCTTAGAAAATCAAGAGAGTTTGTCCATTGTATATTTGTAGTTCGGCATAAAGCTACACAATAGGCTATCTATGCTGTGCCTCCCAAACCCGGTTTTTAGCGTTACAAGTCCGCAAACTTACCGCTGAGCCACTGGGGAGCAAGTTGGTCAAACAGGAGATTAAAACACGTATATAAAAAAAGGTTGGTTGAAAATGTAAAAATTAACAGTAAGATTTCTTTAAGTACATTAAGGGTAAGCAAAACGTGAGAATAGGAGTAATGCCTTCTAGGGATGATAACAGAAGGGTCATATCTAGTGATTATGATATGGCTGGATTATCAAATTATGTTTTTTCTTCAATTTTAATAATGAATATTTTGGCAATATTCCTCGTCCTGAACAGTTGCTAGATGGAAATAAGATTGAACAAAGTAATCAAATTAATTATGAACTTGCTAAGAAAAAAACAAAAAAAAATTAAAAGAATGATAAGATTCTCGGGCCAGATAATATTTCTCAAAGGTTTTGAAGAAAGTTAAAATTTTCATATGTGAGCCATTTGCAACTATGTTTTGTAAATCCTTGAATAGTGGGGAGGTACCAAAGATTTGGAAGTTGGCTAATTTACTCCTCTTTTCAATGGAGGTGATATAATTGTCTTGGTAATAATAGATTTATTGATTTTATATTAGTAGTGGTAAAAGTTTTTGGAAGTCTGATAGAAGATGCTTTGCCTTATTAATCTTTTGACATTTTTTGAAGAAGTTACTGATTATTTAGAAGATGGTAATGTGTGGGTTTGGTGTATCTGGACCTTCAGAAAACATTTGACAAGGTGTCACATGAAAGACATGATGGCGTGAATGTTTTAATTATTTATTTACACAAGTACCTTGAATTTCAGCCTTTAATGTTATAAAGGGATTTACATCATCTTGTGAGTTGGGCAAATAAATGACAAATGTTTTTAATTATAATAAATGCAAGGTAATGCGAATGGGTTATTATAATTTCAGTCATTATTTTGATGGGAATAACTTTAACAGTATTATGGAAGAAAAGGATCTTAGTGCTCTGTGTTATTAGTCTCTTAAGACATCCAAACAGTGTGCTATTGCTAATGGTAGAGCAAATATGATTTTAAGTTGTATGTACGAGTCCAAAAAGGTTATAATTTCGTTGTATAGGTCACTGGTTAGGCCACAAGTCGATGTAATGTGCTCAGCCTTGGGATCCCCACCTTAGGAAGGAAATTGAATTATTGAAAAGGGTTCAGAGAAGGGTTACTAGGATGATACATGGGATGGAAAACTTGTCATAAGAGGGCAGGTTATAATCTCTGAACTTGTTTTCTCTTAAGAAAAGAAGAGTTAGAAGCGATCTAATTGAGGTGTATAAGATTGTTAAGGAAAATGATAGTGTCAATGCATCATATTTTTGCTACTTAATTGTGAGAATGGTAGGAATAGAAGACACAAATATAAATGTTAAAAGGGTGTGAGTCATCTTCAGCCAGGACAGTTTTATTTTTCTAATAAGGTGTTTAGCCTTTGGAATGGGTCTTGATAGATATTTGAATAATAAGGGTTAGTTCTGAACTTATATATATATATACATATATTAGTTTAGTGGATGGGACAGCCTAAAGGGACCAATGGGTCCCTTGTCGTTAAATGTTATGAATTCATTAATATATACATGTATATTTTTAACTAATTCAACTCTATGAAAGTTGCCTCTATCTATCAGATTGTAGTGGACTCGAGTTAATGTGTGGATTAGAAGAGAGAAGGTCTAAGGTTTTAGTCTATGATATCGCACTGAACGTGATTCACACTTTCTGCTGTGGGGGTGTTAACAAAGTGACAGTTAAACTGCTATTCGGTTCAAAGTAGCTGTCTAAGTGGCGGCTACTGCTGACTAGTTGCTATACATCTGGTCAGAAGTTCTAGTTTAGGGATGGCTATGTTAGAATCTTAGGGCGCTTACCTTGCCATTTAGCCTATAATTAGCGCAAACAATTCTATTCACATTTATAACACTGCTCTCTTTATACATACAAAGATATCTGAAGTACGATAACAGTGACGTCTTGATAACGTACAAATTACATATTATTCGACGTACTTGAACTAAATGGATATTTAGTAAAAATGATAATCAAAAAGACTTCGTACTTACATGTCAACCATGATATCGACAAAAGGGTAATATATCATTAAATATTATAATAACAAAGCATGCCTACATGTCAGTCGCGATAACGGCAAAAATGTAATGTCTTTTTAAAAATCTGCCCCAACCTTCCCTAGTGGGTCAGCGGTAAGTTTCAGAACTTACAACACTAGACTCCGGGGATAGATTCCTCGTTGCGAACAGATCGAAGATAACCTACTGTATAGCTTTGTGCTTAAAACAAACAAATCTTCAAAAACAAAGGCAGTTAGATATATTTGCAATAAAGTTGTAACTCTGTTAACGCATGCAAAATAATTTTCATTGTATAGCACTATCTTACAGTGGAATCAGCTTAGTGCGCGGTGTCTAGTCACTAAAACAAATGTAAGTGTAATGTAACCATTATGTATGAACATATACGTGAAATGTGTGGGCATGCTTATTAAACTACTTATAAAGTGGGTTACACAAGAAGTCGTTACGACATCCGCTTCATTAAATGGGAATGCCGGATGTGTAAATGAAAGGACAGTGCTAGACCCATGTGTCTAAATATAAAAACAAAACAAAACAAAAAAACGTTGAGAGAGAAAGAAAGTATATCTTGACGAAACTATATGGGGTATTTTAAAGCAGAAAAAGATAATAGGAATAATATAAAAGAAGAAAAAACAAAAGAAGAAAAAGACTTTCGTAAGATATGACTTTGTTATGGTTAGTTCTGGTACCATTTGTTTCACAGTTCCATAAAAACAAGCAAAGCTCACAAAACGGTTACTATTGGTACAGAGGACTTATTCGAGTATTATGTAAAATTGTAGTGTTGGCCAGACCTCAAATGCATATTGATTA